GCAGTCTTTGTGTGTTTGTGTACTCAGCAGTCTTTGTGTGTGTGTGTGGACTCAGCAGTCTGTGTGTGTGTGGACTCAGCAGTCTGTGTGTGTGTATGGACTCAGCAGAGTCTGTGTGTTTGTGTGTGTATGGACTTAGCAGTCTGTGTGTGTGTATGTGTGTATGGACTCAGCAGAGTGTGTGTGTGTGTATGGACTCAGCAGTCGGTGTGTGTACGGACTCAGCAGAGTCTGTATGTGTGTATGGACTCAGCAGAGTCTGTGTGTGTGTATGGACTCAGCAGAGTGTGTGTGTATGTGTATGGACTCAGCAGAGTGTGTGTGTGTGTGGACTCAGCAGTCTGTGTGTGTGTATGGACTCAGCAGTCTGTGTGTGTGTATGGACTCAGCAGTCTGTGTGTGTACGGACTCAGCAGTCTGTGTATGTACGGACTCAGCAGAGTCTCTGTGTGTGTATGGACTCAGCAGTCTGTTTGTGTTTGTGTATGGACTCAGCAATCTGTGTGTGTGTGTGTGTATGGACTCAGCAATCTGTGCGTGTGTGTGTGTATGGACTCAGCAGTCTGTGTGTGTGTATGGACTCAGCAGTCTGTGTGTGTATGGACTCCGCAGTCAATAATTAAAATTCCTGTGAGTTGTGTAGGAAGGGCCCCAGTGTATTGCTTTGCCCAGGGGCCCTTAACTCTGTTAAAATGGTACTGCTTGTGTGTGTCAGTGAGCTTCTATTTAGTGAGCATGTGTGTGTCATTTTGACTTGTAGGAATGGCATACATTTTTTTTCCAGGGCTGCTTTGGATTCCCAGGGATTCCCAGTTTGGCTCTGCCAGCGAGTGCACTTTACCGCTGAATAACCTGTGTGAGCTGCCGCACACTTTAGCCCTGTTACACGCGTCTGGGAGCTGCTGTTGACAGGTACAAGTAGTCTAGAGATTGGGGTATATGCTCAGCTATCTGTATAATACAGATCTGTGTGTATAAAATATCCCGGGATAGTCAGTGCTTCCTGTATAGTGCTGCTCTCTGTCTTGGGATTATACAGAGAGCAGCACTATACAGGGAGCACTGAGTGTCCCAATTTATTATACACACAACCCTGTATTATACAGAGAGCACTGACTGTCCAGGGATATTATACCCAGACAGTAATTGATAGCTGTGCTGCAAAATGTCCTTGGAAATTTTTTTTCAAATGTTGGCAACTATGGCACTGTATCAAGGATAATGTGTTTGTTTTTTTAATAATCCCTGGTGGAAAATCATGATTCCTCCACCAGGTATTATTAAAAAAACAAAACACATTGTGTCGGGGGCGTGGCTTAACATGTGACAGGGGCGGGGTCAAACTGCGGCGAGGGCGGGGTTAAATGTGCCCCCCTACTTTTGTCACTGGCCCTCCATGTGCCCCCCCGAAAAATGAATCCTAGAGACGCCACTGGACTGTGTGTGTGTCTGTGTTTGTGTCTGACTGTGTGTGTGTATTTAGAAGGTGGCGCGGGGGGAGTGGGGCGCATGAGTTTTGTCCTGCCTAGGGCAGCACAAAACCAGGATACACCACTGCCAACACCTTAGTCGCATCTGGCGTTAAGTAGGGGCGGATGTGCGCAATGTTTTTGAGATGGAAATGACAGGATTTGGCGATAGATTGAACATGAGGCTTGAAGGAGAGGATGGAGTCAAAGAGAACATGAGTTTTTTAAGTGTGGGAATTGACTGGTCCACTTTATGGGAAGATTACTAATTTTTTTAATCTTTTAGAATGAAAAAGAAAAAACCTAAGATCATTTTTATAGGGGCTCATACTATTAAAAATAAACTAGTTTGAAGTTATACAATGCCTACTCCTGAGAAACGTTTAGTGTTACCTCCGATTATTGACCCAGGGGGGAGTACTCACTAAGCGCTGACAATGTTTTTGTATATCTCATACGTTTCTTGCCAAAATCCCCCTGTTTATACAGGTGTATCCACAGTTCTAAAAACAGAACTATATGGGAGTCAGAGACATTGCTGAAATGATAATCTAAAGAATGATATCCTACGCATCCGACATGAGCCTGAAGCTAAAATAAAATAACTCACAGGAACGGACGTTTATTCACTGTTAGGAATTATACTGAAGATTTTTGGGGTATTAATAGAGGTTGTTAATTAATATTCCCATGCAATGAAACATTTCATGATTAAGAATTGTTTTCTAACAGGAATTTGTAATTAACGGATACAGCTATTAAGCTGGGAGTTTACCGCCAGTCGTTTCCCACAGCAAAAGACAGAACATCTTAAAGGAACACTGCAGCATTAGGAATACCAATCTGGAGAGGGGCATTGTGGACATTAGGCAGCACTTGGCGATCCTGCCATAGAGAATTGTTGAATACAATGGATCTCTACTGCAGACGTCAAGGTACGAGAGCCGGTAAGAAACAGCCCCGGCTCATATAACCAGGCATGGAGACGTGGCTTGAAGTCATGCAATCAAGCTTTCTCCTTATTAAAATAATGGGTTTTAGGAAGTAGGACTTAATAATATGAAGTTGTTATAGTGCCTAGAGTGTTCATTAATTTAACTTTTTTTAGGAAAGTATTTCAATGAATTCTAGGATTAATCTTTTTGTCCTGGTCGAGAAGACAGAAAATTTAGCTGACTACACTGAGTATGGTTATTATACTCTGTGCACATATCACTGAATTTGTTTCCTATAGGTGGTCTGACAATTAATAACTATTAACTTTTGAGTTTAAAAAGCCTGCTTTTCAAGTTCCGGTTATGCTTAGGAATAAGTGCAGCATAGCATGAAACGTGCTGAATGTGGCTCTCAGTATGAAACGCGTTGGATTGCAGCACAGCATAAAATGCGCTGGGTGTGCAGCGTAGCATGAAAAGCATTGGATTGCAACGCAGCATGAAACGCGTTGGCTGTGCCGCGCAGCATGGAACGTGTTGGAGCTGATTCTCTGGAACTGTTTTGGGCATAGGACCATGGCTTTCATAGAATTTCTGAATTGATTTGGGTGATTTTTGAATATGTTGGTCACCCAGATCAGGATCAGGGGATGTAACATTTGTATATTATGTGTTTTGGGGTACTTTTGGAACTTTATTGAAATGTGTTTTTTCTGCCTGGAGATAATCGGTTTAATACAGTATCTGACTAAATTATCTCCCAAGCAGAGGGGAGGGATTGTTTGCTATGTGTGTGAGTGTCATGCATTGGTATACTGTTCCTATTGGTCTGTGAATATTGTAATTCAGTTCCCCACAAGGTCCATGTAATAAGGCCAAGTGTGGCACCATCAGTTCCTCTTCACCCTCAACATAGAACCTCGTCTCATGTGTGGAGGGGACAGCTATATTCACTCTGGGGATTTCTATACTCCTCCTGGGTTCTAATCACTAGCTCTTACAAGAGCTTCTGCCTGCTATACTCTCTGGAGTAGGAGAGGTTCACCCACTGGAAGCTGGTATTGGGATCAGGGTGGGTAGAGGAGGGTGAGACCCCAACCAAGCTGTGGCAGTTCGTGGGGTCTATGGTGCTGATGGTGTCTGGTGTGCTTGGAGTCCTCGTGAGCACTTGGAGCATCAATTATTGGAGTCACCCAGTTGGGGAGCCAGGCGAACTGTCACACGCACCATTATGTAGTATTTGTACGTTTTGGATTCTTGACGCCCAGTAATGCGGTGCTCCTGATGTGATACATTTTTTGACCAGTAACTGCTATGTCAGACCATTTCTATTTAGATGTGGATACACGATCATATTGGTGTTGTTTATACTTTTATTATTTTATTTATCAAGTGTCAAAATTAATGATTCATAAGACATTGCATTAAAAAAGACAATAATACTCACCTGAAAGCCTTAATGGTCCGTTTCTTGCAGAGAGCTATTGTTCTGACATACACCCATTACACATGTACACTGGTTAGTCACGTACACCCATTACACACTGTAACGGCACCCCCAGACATAAAAGGGGTTAAACTGCCCAGAGATACAGGCACAGCTACCGCAGAACACCAAACTACCGAACTGGATACCAAGTAGCACTCCAAACTCCCGAACTGGAACCTCACGAATAGCTGCTAGCAGCTGAACAGGAAAAGCACCCAAGCAGCTTACACTCCTGGCAATCAGTCTCTAACAGCATACAATAAATCCCCCCAAGAACGAGACAAAGCTCCGTGTTGAGGGTCAAGCAGGAACAGACAGAGCTGTGGGTTTATTGTTCTTATATACACATTCTTACACATTAGGGTTTTGGAAAACAACCAATAAACACGTACAATACACTCAGACACTCCCACAATGGAATGCCCTGTGAACCTTGTAAAGATCTGAAAACGTTCCAAGCACACCTACACAGAAAGAAAACACCTGGAGGTTTAAAAGTGTAAATTTATGTCAGTATGCCTCTCAGCGTATGTGTCTGTCTGTGTCAATGTATGTGTCTGTGTCAGTATGTCTGCCAGTGTATGTATCTGTGTCTGTCAGTATGTCTGTCAGTGTATGTTAAACATTCCTAGTGAGTGGCGATTTTAGGAGTTATATAAGGCTTGGTCTCATTAGCTTGTCTAATATAGCTTGGTTGCTTCATCTAAGTGTTGCTTCTAAGTGTGTGGTTGGAGATATTCTGGAGAGTTTTACAGAAGCTTCAACTGTCTAAGAGTTGTGCTAAGAGCTTTCTTTTCTACTGTTACAGGTAAGATTCATCTGTAGGAAAAGGTTACTGATTGCCCAAGGTTTGAATTCCTGTTGGTAATTATAAGGCATTTGATTTGATTAAGCTAGTTACTTGCTATTGATTGCTGTTTAAATTAGCTATTGTTTGCAAATAAACAGAGGCCTACCCAGGTGTTAAACAATCCTAGTGGGTGGTGATTTTAGGAGTTATATAAGGCTTGTTGTCATTAACTTGGCTAATATAGCTTGGTTGCTTCATCTAAGTGTTGCTTCTAAGTGTGTAGTTGGAGATATTCTGGAGAGAAACTGGAGGTGATCTGAGGTATTCAGGAGGATAAATACAAAGTTAAGATTCATTTTGTAGCGGATGGTACTATGGCTGTCCTAAAAGACTGTGTTAAAACTGTAATTTGTGTGTTTATTTTCCTATATAGTTAAAAGTGTATGTAGAATTCGTATGATTGTTCGGTAGTTTCATCCGTATCCCATACAAATGAAACTACCGAACCAGTAGACCACCCCAGAGAGAAGTGTGCACCTCATTAGGCTTCCCACTGCTCTAACCGCACGTTTCTTGATACTTTATGCATGTATTTGGGTGGCTGCCGTTCGGCATACGAACACGTGGTGGTGGCCATCTTCCGCACAAACTCTCAGCGGTGTTTGGGCGTCGAGTGTCTGGAACTCAAATCGGACACTCAATTACCCAAACACCGTAATTCGTGTAGGTGTGATTTATAGGCCCCCAGGACAAATAGAAGAGTTAGATAATCTACCAGTTGAGGAAATAGCTAAAACGACAATGAAGGGGGAAGTTATCATCATGGGTGACTTTAATCTTCCTGATGTAAATTGGAAAACAAAATTAGCTACTTGTGCCAGGAGCACACATATTCTAAATTCCCTACTGGGATTGTCTCTAAAACAAGTTGTTGAGGAGCCAACTCGTAAAGAGGCCATACTAGATTTAGTGTTAACAAATGGAGATTTGGTATCAGATGTTACTGTAGGTGAAAGTTTAGGATCCAGTGATCATCAGTCAGTGTGGTTTAATATAAGAACAGTGACTGAGTCACACCACACAAAAACAAAAGTTTTAGACTTTAGAAAACAGACTTTTCTAAAATTAGAATATGGGTAGAGGAGTCATTATCAGACTGGAGCAATTTAAATGGAGTCCAAGAGAAATGGGATTATTTAAAAGTTGCACTATTGAAGGCAACAGAAAATTGCATTAGGCTTGTCAGTAAAAGCAAAAAATTCAAGAAACCACTGTGGTACTCCGCAGATGTGGCCAAAATAGTAAAAAACAAAAAAGTTAGCATTTAGTAATTATAAAAAAAAAACCCAGAGTGAGGAAGACAAAATGATCTGTAAGATTAGGCAGAAAGAGTATAAGCAAGTTATAAGAGCTTCCAAATCACACACAGAAGAGAAAATAGCACAGTCAGTAGAAAAGGGGACAAAACATTTTTTAGATACATAAATGAGAAAAGGAAAGTAAAACAAGGATTAGTTAGATTAAAAACAAAAGAAGGAAGGTATATAGAAGAGCATAAAGGTCTAGCTGACTGCCTCAATGAATATTTTTGTTCTGTATTTACAGATGAAAATGAAGGAAAGGGACCTCAGTTAAGAAAAAGGACAAATGAGTCATTTGTTACATGTGAGTTTACAGAGGAAGAGGTTCTATTTCAACTGTCAAAAGAAAAGACAAATAAGTCAATGGGACCTGATGGAATACACCCAAAGCTATTAACAGAGCTTAGTGGTGAACTAGCAAAACCATTAACAGATTTATTTAACCAATCATTAACAGGAGTAGTCCCAGAAGATTGGAAGTTAGCGAATGTTGTGCCCATTCAAAAGAAAGGTAGTAGGGAGGAGTCGGGCAACTATAGGCCAGTAAGCCTTACTTCAGTAGTGGGGAAAGTGATGGAAACCATGTCAAAGGATAGGATTGATGAACATCTAAAAACACATGGATTTCAAGATCAGAGACAACATGGGTTTACTTCAGGGAGATCATGCCAAACTAATCTTATTGATTTTTTTGATTGGGTAACTAAAATTATAGATCAGGGTAGTGCAGTAGACATTGCTTACCTAGATTTCAGTAAGGCTTTTGACACTGTTGCACATAGAAGGCTTATCAATAAACTGCAATCTTTAACTTTGGATTCCAATATTGTTGAATGGGTAAGGCAGTGGCTGAGTGACAGGCAACAGAGGGTTGTAGTCAATTGAGTATATTCAAAGCATTTGCTTGTCACCAGTGGGGTACCTCAGGGATCTGTACTTGGACCTATTCTCTTTAATATTTTTATTAGTGATATTGCAGAAGGTCTTTATGGTAAGGTATGTCTTTTTGCTGATGATACTAAGATATGTAACAGGGTTGATGTTCCAGGAGGGATATGCCAAATGGCAAATGATTTTAGGTAAACTAGAAAAATGGTCAGAGTTGTGGCAACTGATATTAAATGTGGATAAGGGCAAGATAATGCTGTCACAGTTCTTGCCGTGACATCCAGATGTGGTCACCCCAGAGGTGCCTGATGTTTATTCTCAACTTGTCTCCAGCACTGGGGGCTGGACATTACCTGTGGCTGCTCCTATCATCTCAGCCCACCTGAAGCAGATGCCTAATTAGACAGGTATAAGACACTGCCGCTCCCTGAGGGCAGTGTCAGTTCATTGACTCTGGTTCTGCTGTCTAGTTCCTGTTTTTGCATCGTGTATCCTGACTTCTGGCATCCTCTGACTTTGGCTTACCCTTGATGATTCTCCTGCTTGAGTTCTTACCTGTTCTGCGACTTGGAGCAATATCTTGCACATCCCCTGTGCACAGTAGCAGGTATCCGTTTCGTCATGGTAGTGACTTCTTCAGGAATATACTGCTGGTCAGTATCTTCCTTGTTTATATATTGTTCAGAATTTCAAATTGGCAGGCATTCCGCCATCATACGCGACGTCCGGTTCCGGACGGTTGTTTCCTACGTTCCACCGTGGAACGCAAATCGTCACTTCCTGTTCGCGTGATGGAGGATGCTAATGCAGTGTGATGGGAAAGAGATCCATGTCTACACAAGAATGGAATGGCACAGAATCTCATCCTCTAGACACACTGATGACAATAACAAAGTTCCTGCTCTCAAAAGTTATCCTATGGAAAACATGACGAGGACATAATATTGACATGGGCTGGAGCGCAGACTGCATAGGACAGAAACAATGGCATGTAGGGAAGGGGAGCAGTGCAGTGCTAATGCCAGCAGCCTGCTGCACATGTCAGCTTGTTTCCCAATGTCCCTTAGTGTCTCAGTGTCTGCCATAATGTCTCCCAATGTCCCTTAGTGTCTCAGTGTCTGCCATAATGCCTCCCAGTGCCCCTTAGTGTCTCAGTGTCTGCCATAATGTCTCCCAATGTCCCTTACTGTCTCAGTGTCTGCCATAATGTCTTCCATTGTCCCTTAGTGTCTCAGTGTCCCCATGTCTCCCAGTGTCCCTTAGTGTCTCAGTGTCTGCCATGTCTCCCAGTGTCCCTTAGCGTCTCAGTGTCTGCCATAATGTCTCCCAATGTCCCTTAGTGTCTCAGTGTCTGCCATAATGTCTCCCAGTGTCCCTTAGTGTCTCAGTGTCTGCCATAATGTCTCCCAATGTCCCTTAGTGTCTCAGTGCCTGCCATAACGTCTCCCAATGTCCCTTAGTGTCTCAGTGTCTCCCATAATGTCTCCCAATGTCTTAGTGTCTCAGTGTCTGCCATGATGTCTCCCAGTGTCCCTTAGTGTTTCAGTGTCTGCCATGATGTCTCCCAGTGTCCCTTAGTGTTTGTGTCTGCCATAGTGTCTCCCAATGTCCCTTAGTGTCTCAGTGTCTGCCATAATGTCTCCCAATGTCCCTTAGTGTCTCAGTGTCTGCCATAATGTCCCCCAGTGTCCCTTAGTGTCCCAGTGTCTGCCATAATGTCTCCCAATGTCCCTTAGTGTCTCAGTGTCTGCCATAATGTCTCCCAGTGTCCCTTAGTGTCTCAGTGTCTGCCATAATGTCTCCCAGTGTCCCTTAGTGTCTCAGTGTCTGCCATAATGTCTCCCAGTGTCCCTTAGTGTCTCAGTGTCCCCATGTCTCCTTGCAGCCTTCCCCCCATCACTTATTTCCCTGAGCTGTAGGCTATCTCTGCAGGGTGGGAGTTGCTGTCTGGACTCTCTGTAGCTGCACCCCTGCAGATCAGTAAGTATAGATGGACAGGGAGGGGTATGCTGGAACTTCCTATCCCTGCCTGTCTCCACACACACAGCGACCCCTACTGGCCAGTGCTGGTATTGCAGAGTAATCTCTTGTTTATACTGAGAAAAATACCCGCATTTATATTGCCAATATCACTGCAATATTGGCACAAGCCAGGCAGCCTCAAATACTGGCTGTGCCAATAAAATAAAAGCCAGGTGGAATCCCTAAGAGTAGTGTGTGGGGAAAAAAAAAGTAAAAAAAAGAATTTTTTTTTTTTTCCAATCAATGGGCCTATTCCATGGACCTGGGCCTGGAGCTGCAGCTCCATCAGCCCCTATGTTAATCCAGCCCTGCACTAGAGTGAAAGCATCGCCAGCATTCAAAAGTGACCAAAACAGAAGTGGTCTGTGGTCACCACCTGCAAAACCACTCCTTTATTGGGGGTGTCTTGCTAAATGCCTATAATTTCCACCTGTTATCTATCCCATTCGCACAACAGCATGTTAAATTGATTGTCCCTCGTTGTTGCTTCCTAAGTGGACAGTTTGATTTCACAGAAGTGTGACTGACTTGGAGTTACATTGTGTTGTTTAAGTGTTCCCTTTATTATTCTGAGCAGTGTATAATGTCACTGAAGAAATGGCTTCATTGGTGCCATTAAAAGACACAACTAGGGGCGTGGCCAGCAGCTGAACCGAGCGGACGTCTCCTCGCAGAGCTCCGCTCGAAACCAGAGACAAAAATGAACAAAACCACGGAAAAACCTAAGGAATACTACTAGAACAAGTAACACCCCCAAGCAGAGACAATGGGGAAGAAAAACAAAAAGAATCAGGGCTCGGCTACAGGTATCCTTTGAAAATCCACAGAGACCCAAGATGGCGCCTGAGGCCTGCTATGCATCCGAAGCTTTGGAGGAGGGGGAATCACTACTCTCACCTCGATTGGAAGTCCGATCCAACACCCCAGACTCCGAGACAGACGAGACCCCAGCCACAAAGGGGGATATAAAAAAGCTTTTGGTTGAACTGCGGCAAATCTGGAGAGAGGACCTCCAGAAGGTCCAGACAGATGTGGAGAACGTGCGCCGCATGGTCCACAACTTAGAAAAGTGGGAGACCTCCAGGGACAAAAACCTCCGCGATGCGCACCAGGGCCTGCGGGAGCACGGTGACCACTTTGGAGGCAAGACACAGGCAAAAGAATCTGTGCCTCAGGGGAGTTCCCGAAACAATAGAAAACACACAGCTCCTACCTTATGTCCAAGACCTCACAGTGACCATGGGCATTAACAATGCCACAGACAAGGCACAGATTACCACAGCTTTTAGAGTGAGCAAATCAGCTGCGGCACCCAGAGACGTTATCATTGTCACTAGGGACATCTCCATGAGGGCCGCCATAATGAAGGGACCTGGGTACTGGGAACGGTGCTCCATGATGGACACAGAGTGGCAGTGTATCCAGACACACCGTTTTCAGCCATAACGGAAAAGAGGAAACTAGCAACCATAGCCAAACAACTGAGGGATGCTAACATAAGGTACCGCTGGGGCATGGAGGGAAACCTCACCACAGACATCAATGGGGAAAGACACACACTTACCTCAAAGGACGACCCCGACAGCTTCATGCGACTTACTGGCATGGCGACACTGCAAAAGCAGGAGACCCCACCATCCAAAGTAGACATGCCGGTAGAACCGGAGAACTTTAATCATAACAAGCGCAAGCAGGACAAGACACCAGGCACAATAATAAAGAGACTGACCCCTGCATCCAGAATAGATGAGCAAAAATGTTATAAGTAGAACGGAGTACATAGCCAGCAATGGTCGTCAACACGCAGAGACGAACAATAATGAGACAGCTAAGGGACTGCTATGGCGATTAGAGCCCATAAGGGGCACTTGTAATATGTATGCTTGTAATATGTTTAGACACTAATTGATGTATACGTACCTATATATATTTCATACCCCAGTTATTGATGTAAACTTACAAAACGTTCAATAAAACATAAAATTAAAAAAAAAAAAGACACAACTAAATCTCTTGATTTGTATGAAGCGGTAAAAATGCTAAAAAGATTTTATGATTTTTGAAATGCATTCAAGTCATTTACGGAATCAAAAAGAAAAATTGTGCCAGAACTGGAAGATGAAAAATGGCTCACAGATTTAACCCCTTAAGGACCAAACTTCTGGAATAAAAGGGAATCATGACATGTCACACATTAACAATTTTGGTGGATTTGACCGCTCGTTTAAATGAGTTAAACATGCGTCTTCAAGGTGAAAACCAACTTATTACTGCAATGTTTCAAACCATAACAGCACTTGAAATGAAACTTAAAGTACGGCAAGCTCAAGTTCTGGAAAATAATTTTATACATTTTAATACGTTGGCTAAACACAGTCCTTTGAACAGCGAGGTTTCAACAGGTTTCAAGATTTTGGAAAAAATAATCAATATTTTGCTATATTTTCGACTCCATTTTCAGTCGACATTACTGCATTGCCTCCGAATTATCAAACTGAATGCATAGAGTTGCAGTCGGACATTCGACTCAAAGAAAAATTTGATCACGTCTCTCTGCTGGACTTTTATAAGGCCTATCTTCCCAAAGAAAAGTATCCCTCGCTTCACAATTGCGCCTTATTCATTACATCTCTTTTTGGCAGCACGTACATTGGTGAGCAACTATTTTCAAGGATGAAGCACATGAAGAGTGAAATTACTTGAAAACTCACTGAGAATTGCAACTATGTTCATCAAACCAGACACTGATGCATGAGTTTCTCAAAAACAAAGTCAAATATCCCACTAGTTTGTCCCGCTCTATAATTCTTTCTGTGGATCCACCAAACTCCTACATCCCCTCTTTGGACCGGCAGGGGTTATCTCAGTGCCCACTGGGCTACCAAGCACAACTCTTTTTGTCACGCCACACTTATCCTACTTACTGAGATGTTACTCCTCTACATAAAATAGTAGAATCGACTAATACTGGGCCACAGAGCCCAATGCAACATGGTTTAGAACAGCAAGACTACGCCAGTAGCATCCTGACGAGGTTAGAAGCACTATTTGAGCAATTCTGGGCCCAGTTGAAGGAGCGTTGTGCAGAAACACTCTCCACAGAAGTCAGGAGAGTCTTCTAAGGACAAATCACCCTCACAGGCTCAATCCAAGCCTTACTCTACTTACCTGTCCTCCTGAACTGAAGGCCAGATGGGGTTTGCCACCACACCGCACACCTCAACGGAGAACCGCTAGCCAGCATTGTTATCAGACCATATGGATTCTTAGTTATTTCCCACTCTGGAAAGACTTGGCCTCAGTGAGATACTGGGTCTGTGGCACAGAGATGTGGGCCTTTCGATGAGCCTGGGCTGAAAGGATGCTACTCCTTGGCGCTGTATAAATGAGCTATCTCGTGGACTTTCCGGTTCACCTTTGAGTCTACCAGCAATGGGAGTTGGTTGAATGTCGGTGCCCTGATCTATGAAGGCTTACAATCCCCCAGGCCTCTGTAACCACCATTTTATATCTCTATGTTTTGACTTGTTTACACATTATTTTCATTCTCGAGTGTTGTTTATGATTTGTTTTAGTTTGAGTGCTGCATTACTATGATGTTCTAGTCACCCAGTGGTACAAAAAGCCTAATGTCTGGGAAGTTCTATGTGTTATATCTAGCTATGGTTCTCAATACTATAACAATCTCCATGACTAGCTATCCTTCCTCGTCTACGAGTATAGTATCTGTTCTCCGTTCCAGACATTCCAGTCTAGCCTGTTTACTTATTATTTAAAATAAAATGAGGTATTACCATCATTTTTCAATTGTAGTAAAATACCTGTACATTGTGTGTTTGATCCATATATTACATGTTATGCCAATATTATTACTCAATAAAGAGCTTGACATAAAAAATGAAAATATCCCAATAGTTTTATGTTGCCCTGTTTTTTTTTTACATTTTATAATGAAAAATATATTTTAAAAAATATACATGTTTTATTACTTGTTTACGTTAACTATATTTTATATGCGGCCCGAGAAAATTTCTCTACACTCAATGTGGCCCAGGGAAGCCAAAAGTTTGGACACCCATGATATAAAACATAAGACACTAGTAGCAAACAATGGTAAATACTGTATATCCCGCTAGAAGTGGAAAATATATAAAAATATACAGAAAAATATATGCTAATAATAAAAATTACATAAAAACGGGCACCGAGCATAAACAATAGATATATGAAAGAACCCCACTGGTGTACTGCTGATACACCAAAGCGGGAAGTACCTGACCTTGGGGGACCCCCAAAAGACCGAGGTATAGCTGCGGAAAGTGGAGGATGCATAATAGCTCAATAAACATGTTCCCACAGTGCACTGTGCAGCATGTAGCTAGAAGATGAACAAACTTGCATTGAGCCTCTAGAAAGATGATCACGGACGGGGTATGCTATAAAGATAGTGCCGCGGTTGGGAACTTCGCAAAAGACCGCAGCTTCTTGCTGAATGCTTACTGGATGCTCGACACTCCAAACAGGGAAAGCAAATTAACAGGAAAGAGGGCACAGCGTCTTCGTGTTTCGTCCTTGCCACAGGACTTTCTCAAGACAACGTGCAGGCGGGGGTTGTTGCCTTATAAACCCTCACAATCCGCTGGTAAAACATTTAATCAAAACCTGGTGTAAGCCATATAAGTTGTTAAACAGGGCTAGCCTAATTGACCATTGAGAAATTTAACAGAATTAACACTAAATGGTTTTGAATTGTATAAAAATATACAATGTGTGTGTTTATTTATACAAAATCACACACGAGGATAATACAAGTATATTCCTAGACATAATTATATTACAGGATCTATCCCTGGCACAGAAACATTTATAAATTATTTATTTAATAATGTAATTGTGGATGATAGTAATAAATCTGACATTGTATATATAAAAAGTAGAGCTAATAATGGTTAGATACTATATAAGAATAATATCGAGTACAGGTACGACCTGAATATGAATGTAATAACACATTATCTATGTGACCCCTTCTCTTCCCGGGATGCCAAGCTCCAAAGGTTACCCCTCCCCTCCCCCCCCGCATGGAATATGTTTCAATGTGTGTCTCTGTGTGCTGTTAATATCTACAAGAGCGGAAGATGGCTATCTGTACCCCCCTCACCCTCCACCAATATGGAATAGGTTTCAATGAGTGTCCCTGTGTACTGTTGGTATCTCCCAGAGCGGGAGATGGCTACATCACATACGTTGATCATACATGATATACGTTGGTCATACATGAAATATGTTGGTCATACATGACATACATTGATCATACGTTGGTCATACATGACATACGTTGATCATACATGACATACATTGGTCATACATGACATACGTTGATCATACATGACATCCGTTGATCATACATGACATACGTTGGTCATACATGACATACATTGATCATATATTACATACGTTCAAGTTCAATTTGTTTCATTCACCTTCTTCAATAAAACATGTCGTCATTTGCAGTGAATATAGAAAGCATCCAAATTTTGCAAAGTTTCAACAAAGTGGACACAAAGTAACATATATTGTAATATTTGGTTTATTATTTGCATTATCATTCATTTAAATAAGTTTTTTGTTTTTAAATAATATTTCTACAAAACCTCTACATTCTGCATTCAGACACATGCTGAGGAAGATCTGTGCATAGTATTGAATGTCGAACGTCCCTACACCAAATAAAATAACCCACGACTAATGAGAGGCAGTAGGAGAGCAATATTTACATGTTATGCCTCCTCACTTGGACCCAGTGTTAGAGAAGACTGTCATTTTAGGAAAAACTGTCTTCTAATGGCTTAATAAGAGAGATCTCCACTTTGTTGATGGATAGTCTGTCCGTTGATGGTGAATGGGTGAGCAGCATTTAGCGCCACGCTAAGCCTAACAACCTCTATGCTAGCGAGATAATTACGCTAAAGATGGGGGAAGGGTATCGATGGAGTTTCATTGCTTATCTCCAGATATTCAATCTTGTTTTCATCATGCAAAAAGGGTGCCTTTTCTAAATAAGGGACAATTATACAATTAATGAGGTAAAAAATATTAATTCTAATTCAATGGAGTCATTACAAAACACTTGGTGGATCTTGAACCATTTACTAAATGTTAATAGCAGGAAGACAAGAACTGGTCATCTTAACCTTTCACAGGTCTATCTGGAAAGTCTAAATCGAATCGATTGATTAGTTTGTGATACATGCAAATATATGGAAGTCTGCACTCCCACCTCCACTCCCGGCTTTCCTCCTCGTTGTTTAGTAACAGTCACAAGGTTTAAAAAAGGCATTTTAGGACCACAAGAGATTCCGTGTTTGGTCTGTAAAACCCCACGAATCCCCTCTCCGATCTCTCATTGTTAGCAGCGAACATATTATTCTTTACATGGAAGATAGGCGCAAACACAGCATATCAACCTGTGTTCCCAGCGATATACAATCTAGAATATATACAATCAGATATATGTCAGTCGCACATTCTATTCCGCAGTCTGTCAGTAATACAGCTCATTAAATGGTTTAGAACAGATTAAAGCAGACAGAGTTATTTATACAGGAAATGGGGATTATTTGTCCAGAATTACAGTACCTTATTGCCGTTATGTTCAGTTTACATCAATTCATTGGGGTAAATGGTAATGGCTGGCACACCCCATCATGCCAGAGTAAGTATAAAGCAAAGCATGAAAAGAGACAGAGATCCTGGGTCATGGCATCTCAGAAAGACCAAGATAGCAATGTATGAGTGACAGAAGCCAATCTCACAGACTCAACCAATGCTGGATGTGTGGGATAGAACCCAGGGACCCACTGCAAACAGTCCACAGGGAGATACCTCGGAGGTTGGCTGTTCTCTAGGATGTTATAAATACCTGATATGTTAGGTGTTTCTTAATCTCTACAAATAAGCTCCGCTATATCTCCTCGCTTGGGGTCACTGTCTCCCTGACTTCACTAAGCACCACACAATTTAATTTTTATTTTTTTTTAATAATGGACATTAAACTCTCAAAATTGAAATCCATGTGATGTTCCTGCACTCCGATACACTGTCTGTAAATATACTCAGTACCTACTCTTAACCAAGAGAAACCTGATTATGACCTGCCTTGCCACATCAACAACCAACCAATGTGTTCTACAGTTAGGCTACCTACCTCTAGCCTATTAACCTAGGTACTTCTTTAGTCCGATGACCTGGATTGTTTGACGACTCCGGATGTATTCCATGTCTCGATCTTTGCCTGTACCTGGAATATCAGCTGTCTGCACAAACATTTGGTCCATCTTGTGAGAGCACGTCTGTTCCAAACCTGTGTCTAATGTTAAATATACCATGGTCCATTACTGTCCCTTTAGTGATATGATTTATGGATAATTAGTCACTTATAAAAGAGATGTTGTGTCCTTGAGATTTTCACTAACTGTATCAGACATTCGAAATCTAGACACCCATCATTGACCAGATGTGCAAGCTAAATGAATACCTTGATCACGGCCACTCTGTCTTACATATCGGACTGTATGTAACAAGATAAATCTGACTGTTATATAACAAGATAAATTCTGAAATGCCTCTTAGGTCCCAAACCAAAGGTAAGAAGCACAGTTCTAGAATTTAATCAACATCCTCATTTCTGTTTGACTCATCTCAGCACAAACCTCCTACCCAACTGGTATAATTTGCTTAGTTTAACAGGTTTTCATAGCCGCCATTTCCCTCAGGAGTATCCCATCATCCACTCCCTTCAAAGATACTCCCATCGGGAGTATCCCATCATCCACTCCGTCCATAGATATTCCCATCGGGGGTATCCCATCATCCACTGCCATCCATAGATATTCCCATTGAGAGTATCCCATCATCAACTGCCATCAAAAGATATTCCCATCGGAAGCATCCCATCATATACTCTATTCAAAGATACTCCCATCGGGAGTATCTCATCATCCACTGCGTCCATAGATATTCCCATCGGGAGTATTTTATCATCCATTGCCATCCATAGCTATTCCCATCGGGGATATCCCATCATCCACTGCCATCCATAGATATTTCTATCGGGACTATCCCATCATCCACTTCGTCCATAGATATTCCCATCGGGAGTATCCCATCATCCACTCCATTCATAGATATCCCCATCGGGAGTATCCCATCATCTACTTCATTCATAGATATTCCCATCGGGGTATCCCATCATCCACTGCCATCCATAGATATTCCCATTGAGAGTATCCCATCATCAACTGCCATCAATAGATATTCCCATTGGGAGCATCCCATCATATACTCCATTCAAAGCTATTCTCATCGGGAGTATCTCATCATCCACTGCGTCCATAGATATTCCCATCGGGGGTATCTCATCATCCATTGCCATCCATAGCTATTCCCATCGGGGGTATCCCATCATCCACTGTCATCCATAGATTTTTCTATCAGGAGTATCCCATCATCCACTTCGTCCATAGATATTCCCATCGGGAGTATCCCATCATCCACTCCATTCATAGATATTCCCATCGGGAGTATCCCATCATCTACTTCATTCATAGATATTCCCATCGGGGTATCCCATCATCCACTGCCATCCATAGATATTTCAATCGGGAGTATCCCATCATCCACTCCGTCCATAGATACTCCCATCAGGAGTATCCCATAATCCACTCCATTCATAGATATTCCCATCGGGAGTATCCCATCGTCCACTGCCATCCATAGATATTCCCATCGGGAGTAGCCAATCATCTGCCATCCATAGATATTCCCATCGGGGGTATCCCATCATCCACTGCCATCCATATATATTTCTATTGAGAGTATCCCATCATCCACTACGTCCATAGATATTACCATCGGAAGTATCCCATCATCTACTCCATTCATAGATATTCCCATCGGGAGTATCCCATCACCCACTCCATTCATAGATATTCCCATCGGGAGTATCACATCATCCACTCCATCCACAGATATTCCCATCGGGAGTATCCCATCATCCACTGCCATCCAAAGATATTCCCATCAGGAGTATCCAATCATCCACTCCGTCCATAGATATTCCTATCGGGAGTATCCCATCATCCACTCCATCCATAGATATTCCCATCGGGAGTAGCCAATCATCCACTGCTATCCATAGATATTCCCATCGGGGGTATCCCATCATCCACCGCCATCCATAGATATTTCTATCGAGAGTATCCCATCATCCACTCCGTCCATAGATATTCCCATCGGAAGTATCCCATCATCCACTCCATTCATAGATATTCCCATCAAGAGTATCCTGTCATCCACAGATATTCCTATCAGGAGTATCCCATCATCCACTGCCATCCATAGATATTCCCATCGGGAGTATCCCATCATCCACTGCCATCCATAGATATTCCAATCAGGAGTATCCCATCATCCAGTCTATCCATAGATATTCCTATCGGGAGTATCCCATCCATACATACTGTGACGAAGTGCCCTTCGCCACTTGTGCCTGGAGAGGACTGCTTGCCCGCCTCTTGCCCTGTGACTATGGCCCCTGGGATGTATTGCCCTTTAAAGACATGATTTGGGCATAATGGATTTGTGTTGTGCTGCTGCTGGCCCTTTAAGAACCATCTGAGGACATACTGTGGAGTTACTGGGTGGCCACCATTTCCTGTATCAGAAGCACATGGTCAGAACAATGGATGGCGGCCATTTTAACTCACAGACACTGTTTGGACTTTTCAACACGGTGCCATCTTGCCAGTATTTGGTGCACAGAGACATCGTGCAGTGGTTTTGGACTATACAGCAGGGGACACATTATAAAGTGATTGTTTTTCATTTAGCCTGTATATGTTCTGCTGAATCTGCATTAAACTGTATTTTCCAAAGTACTGAACGGATCTGGGTGAATTTTGGATATGTGGTTCACCCAGATCCCCCGGTTCCAAGGATATACTTATGGGGTTATTGCATGTTTTGGGGTCCCTGTGATGTGTTTTATGAAACTATTATTTATGGCCAGCAGATAATTGAGCTTTGTGTATTGTAGAAACTCAATTATCTAGCCTGGCCCAGAGGAGGAGTTTTGTGTTGCATAAATTGTGAGTTCTGTGTGCCAGTAAATCAGTTTTGTTCCAGCATTAAGCCTTGGCTCATGTTTGCGGGATTGGAGAAATACACTCCGGGGATTGCTATAATCACTATACTCCCCAGGGTATGATCACTAAGTTCTGCTAAGAGCTTGTTCCTGTTCCTGCTTTCTGGGGAAAGAGAGGTTCACCCACTGGAAGCTGGATCCTGGCCTTGGGTCCAGGTTGGGTGGAGACAGCAGAGACCCCGGCGCAGTTGCATCGCTGGAAGTGGGGTCTGCAGTGCTGATAGTGTCAGTTGGAGTGCTTGGAGTCCTCAGCGAGCACTAGGAGCATCGATTGGCGGAGGTACTCAGTCGGAGTGCCAGCATTCCGTCACACATACTATCATAAGGAGATATTCTCACAATGAAACTGTCTAGCTGGGGGGATTGTCTCTAAAATTGGGCAAACAGGAGACAATCTAACATGGTATAAGGGGAGATAGGTAATGAAACGTATAAAATTGTCACAAAGCATGGGGTGACAATTTAACTTAAAGGACGAATCCCCCCAAAACACAGTAAATATCAGCTGAAAAAAAAGACAAGAAATCAAGAGGTCCAGAGAAAGTAAGGGGGTCAAATGACAAAGTCCATACTATTAAAAAATTAGTTTTTTTCAAGCCTTTCCACAATCAGACTGAGATTCAGGCAACGACAAACAAAACAACTCTACCGTGTCTAAACATGCGCTCAGTAACTGTTCCAGGATTATAGCAGATAAGGATTTCAATGGAGAGTTACAGATAAAAGCCTATAAAACAGGTGAAATGGCCATTCCACCCAAGATCAGCCAATAACCAAGTGATTTCAGGAATGCATTTAAGGTGATTATAGCCAGAATTAGACCCTCACTATGTTGGCAGAGCAGCAAACTGAAATTCTATCCAGTGTCCCAACTGTGAGAATAAAAATATTTTGGGAATTATACGCAAAACTCCAAGTTCACAGCCAAGTGGCCATATGGAAGTAAAAAAGCAGAATTCTACCCCAAAAAACAATCTCTAATTCAACCTTTTTATGCAAAGTGATTGATTAACATCATGTAAAGCTTTCATTCCAAAGGCAAATTTTTTTTTTTAGTACCCCTTGAGGTGCCAAACAGAATGACTAACGCCTGTAATCAGGCACAATGTAATAATACAGCAAGGAGCCAGGACTCGTTATCCTCAGCCCTCGCTTGGCAGGATGGGGGAAGAGCAGAAGTTAATAAAATTAGTTGTGACCAAATGAAAGCAATCTCTAATGATACGGGAGATGCAAACCCTTTGTATTACATGGAATAAATAATTCTATTATTACAGTCCGCCTGCTGGCAGATTCTAAAATCCACGGTCTAAAGATTTATTTAAATTCCAGAGAAATCAGGAAAGCGACAATTCCTCAACTCAAGAGTTCCACTTTAAATCATTTGTTGAGATTTTAGGATTATTTAGTGGGTGGTTTTGCCTGTTTGACGTGACCATTTATAATTTCAAACAAGCCATTTATATTGACTGCACATTGAGATGTTCTTGGTAATAATACGTACAGCAGCCTGGGAAAGAGACAGGGCAGGAATATGGTCTTACTGTCTGCAGGAAACCATCACTGTGCAGGTTTGGGACATTTTTGGGAATATGGACAATAGCGATGTTGAAATTCTAGCTGCCGTGTGGTTTGTCAGTATATCTATCTGCGTCTAATAAATAAAAGATCTTGTTACCACTCACTCTACACCCCTCTTCTATATACACCCCTCCTCTATATACCCCTCCTCTGTATACACCCTCCTCTATATACCCCTCTTCTATATACACCCCTCCTCTATATACCCCCTCTCTATATACCCCTCCTCTGTATACACCCCTCCTCTATATACCCCTCCTCTGTATACACCCTCCTCTATATACCCTTCTTCTGTATATACCCCCTCTCTATATACCCCTCCTCTGTATACACCCCTCTCTATATACCCCTCCTCTGTATACACCCCTCTCTATATACCCCTATATACCCCTCTCTATATCCATAGCTATGTATATGCCCCCTCTTTATACACCACTCTCTATACCCCCTTTCTCTATATAACCCTCTTCTGTATACACCCCCTCTCTATATACTCCTCCTCAGTATACACCTCCTCTCTACATACCCCTCCCCCTGTATACACCCCCTCTCTACATACCCCTCCCCCTGTATACACCCCCTCTCTATATACCCCTCCCCCTGTATACACCCCCTCTATCTGCACCCCTCCACAGTATAAACCCCTGTTCTATGCATCCCTCCTGTCCATAATCCCTTCCTCAGTTTGCACCCCTTCACATTGGCCTGGGCACTCTGGATCCTGTGACATTAAGCTCCAATCAATGATGCCAACTGTTACACACACTGGCTGTTGGGACGACTTGTGATACGTTTTCCACTGATTTTATCTCGGTCTTCACTACAAATTACAAGAGAAGGTCTGGAGATAATCTGATCATGGTGATATAATTCAACTACATGTTTGAAATCTAGAAAGTGATCTCCTGAATACGTTAAAAAACCCAAACCCGGCATTGCATTTCGTATAGGCTGCAGAAACACATGTCTCTATTATTCAAGTAGCCAAACAAATTGATCAATAGCGTGCCCCCACTATTTGGGTGTATTCTGTGCCCGCACGTTTTCCTTGATGGCAGAAATAGCATTCACTGTAAATAGTAAATGATAGCTACAAAGAACGGGCACCGCAAGGAGGCATGCATGCCACAAATAGCAAGCGGCGAGTCCTTCCTGGGCTGGGATTGATAAATCATTCATAGCAATTTCCTTATTTTGCTTTTTCTTCCATCCACACAGACGATTAAAGCTTTAGCTTTTCGGCACCCAATCATGACACCCAAGTTTTTAAGGTGCCAGGCTGACTTCATACACCCATTGTGGTGCCAGAATGTGGCTTGTGCCCAGAGTCTAACAGTGGCATTACCGTCCCTAACTGCCCGGGTCAGATGAATGTCTCTGTGGGGTCCTCAAGTCCAGAGGGTCATCCAAGTGTCCAGGGAGAGAGAGACGTCTAGGGCTGTCCTTGAGCTCAGAGTTCAGAGTCTGTGGCGTATAACACGTCTTGAGCCGCGGCCCTTCCAAATCCTGGTATTCATAAACCTGCCAACGTTAAAATGAACATGTGATCACAATGTCTCAGCAACAGTAGAAGTCATAGTCTCTGGGATCCTCTCTTAAAAATCTTATTAATAACTACTGTAAAGGAAGTACTTGGGGCACAAAAGGTTTTTATTCAGATTTTCTGTAACTATTGACATTCAGGAATCTTCTTCCAGTTGTAAAGTTACCAAAATAAGATTTTTTTGAGTTCAAAGAAACCGTCAATAATCATTTCTATTTTCCCCTTTTCCCCTTTGATCTGTGTGAGAATGCAGCATGCAAATATAGGAATTAGCTTCAGCAATACGTCAGGAGCAGAGAGATAATAATTTGGACCAGGATGGTGACAGCTATAGAACAGATTTACAATGAGGGACATTACGGATCGGTCATCTGTGAGATTTGACCAGGATGGTGACAGCTGTAGAGACAGATTTACAATGAGATACATTACGAATCGGTCACCGGTGAAATTTGGGCCAGGATGATGACAGCTATAGAACATATTTACAATGCTGGACATTACAAATTGGTCACCGGTGAGATTTGGGGCAGGATGGTGACAATGGTAGAGACAGATTTACAATGAGAGACATCACAAATTGGTCACTAGTGAGATTTGGGCCAGGATGGTGACAGCTATAGGGTAAGGTTTACAATGAGATACATTACGAATCGGTCACAGGTGAGATTTGACCAGGATGGTGACAGCTGTAGAGACAGGTTTAACATGAGGGACATAACGAATCGGTCACCGCTGAGATTTAGACCAGGAATTTGACAGCTTTAGGACAGGTTTACAACGAGGGACATTATGAATCTGTAATCAGTGAGATTTAGACCAGGATGGTGGCATCTATAGGGACAGGTTTATAATGAGTGACATTACGAATCGGTGACAGGTGAGATTTGGGCAAGGATGATGACAGCTGTAGGACAGGTTTGCAATGAGTGACATTATGAATCGGTCACTGGTGAGATTTAGACCAGGATGGTGACAGCTGTAGAGACAGGTTTATAATGAGGGACATTACGAATCGGTCACTGGTGAGATTTGACCAGGATGGTGACAGCTTTATGGACAGGTTTACAATGAGATACATTACGAATCGGTCATCGGTGAGATTTGGGCCATGATGGTGACAGCTTTACGGACAGGTTTACACTGAGAGACATTACGAATCCGTCACCGGTGAGATTTGGGCCAGAATGGTGACAGCTATAGGACAGGTTTGCAATGAGAGAAATCGCAAATTGGTCACTGGTGAGATTTGGGCAAGGATGGTGACAGCTGTAGGGTCAGCTTTACAATGAAGGACATTATGAATAGGTCACCGGTAAGATTTGGGTCAGGATGGTGACATAAATACAGGTTTACAATGAATAAATCCATGTATTGGTCTCAGTCAGATATGGATGTACATCTGGGACTTTAGGAACTTGTTTATGGAATGAGGGACATTGCCAGTGAGTTACAGATTGGATGGAACCAGCGGTACCTGAGAACTGGATACCAGAGTTGGAGAGTGCAGAGAAAGCCCAGGTGGTAGAGCTGTTTCTCCATTTGGTGAGAAGCCTGACATCTGAGGAGGAGAGGACACTGTGCTGTAAGCCGGAGGGACCAGGACCGCCTGCTTCTGGAGTAGCTGCATAATAGTGTTAATGTCCGTCACCATTCGGCTTTCTAACCTGTGAGGGGAGAATGCTTCATTTTAACCCAGGAAAACCAGATGGGGATATATCTTATCTTCTAACCTATGGCCAGCGCTAAAATGAATAAATATTACGACTAAAATCGAAATAATTATCATATATTGAATGCAGCATTCACCGATTCTACTAAACAGTAGATTCTATTCAAACATTAATATTGTTATACTATCTGAGGTGGTTCCATGTAAACAATATTCATTCTCTATAAGGGTTAGTGCTGTCATATATCGGTTACAGAGAGTTCCAATGGGAATCCTGAGAAGCTTAAAATCGAACCGGAAAAGCTTATTATAAAAATAATCAAATGTCACCATGTACGCTTTGAGTTAAAATGACTAACATAAAATATTAGAGGCATCCAGTATCTCTGTCACTCTGAAATCGATATATTCCTCGATCCTACAGATCTTTCTTCAGAAGTGCCTCAAAAAATAAATATATATGGTAATTGTTACAAACTGCCTTTTGTAACTAGTTCTTTATGTGACAAATTGCCCAGTTTCCCTGGCTTATGGAGAAGCCTGATTGCCAGCCTCCTGCCTCATGACTATGGCCCCTGGGAAGTATTGCCAGTTAAAAACACTATTTGGACGTTGTGGCAAACCTAGCCACTCGGACTATAACTGGACACTATGCCTTTAAGGGTTGCCTATAGGTCTGGAGAGAGATGCATTGTACCTGTATGTGCCTGTTTCATGTATTCCCTGCATTGCCTGTACTATCTGTTCCGCCGAATGCAAATGGCGGTTTGTATGGGGATTCCCGTTCGTTTCGCGAACGGCACTTTGGAGGGCCGTTCGTGAAACGAATGCGATACCCCCTAATAGCCCACACACTTAGAGGCGTGTGGCGCTAGTTAACCGATTGCAACATTGTTGCAATCGGTTATTAGAGGCTCTCCTGGGTGGCCGTCGTTCGACTACCGACCATGCGGCGGGCGGCCATCTTGGATCCCTGGTTCATCAGCGGGTTCGTGTCGTCGAACGCATAGCATTCCCAACAGTTATTCGACGGCACGAACACCGTTAAGCCTCCAGGACGTTCGGGAGTTTCAGGACCAGGTTCATTAAAGACAATCGGTTCTTTTCATGTGTTTTGAAAGAAAGTTGTTTTCTGTGCGGCGTTCGGTTATTTTAGCTGGGATCTGAGCGGCAATCTCACGAATGATGCGCCCAGACCCCAGCTATCTACCGAACGTCCATTCGTGTAAATCCACCGTATATTGTACCAACTGTGGATTTTTGTGTGAATTGCCGGTTCTGCTGCACGAGGGGATAATCCCCTTAACGGTGCATTCTGGGAGGATGATCCCTCTCGTGCAGCGGTGCCTGATGGGAGAAATATGTAGTACAGTAAGTCCCCCATGTAGTCCCCTCCTGTACAACCCCTGTAATGTCTGTTTGGAAACCCCTTGCATGGGGAATTGCATAAATACTGTGACCTGTGATTAAAACCTCAGTTGACTCCCAGCCTATGTGTCGTCTAGTTCTTGGGAAGGAAGGGTTACTGCAGTGCTGTTTGGATTATGGTATGCTGATTCCCTGGATTATCCTTTGTTGTTCCTGTTACCCAGCGGAGATATCGTGGATCATACTGCCTCTCCGCTACAATTGGTGGCAAGCGACGGGATTGAATTTACACAGCAAAGCAACGTTCGGCAGATTTTTAAACGAATCAAGGAACAAGCATTCGGGAATCAGCGCATTCGAATAAACCTCACGAACAGCAGGTGAATGGGAACAGATTACACCCTGCTAAAACGGAGCACATTAAAGGAGCTGCTGGAAGCAAGAGGAGCAATCGCCAGTAACAAGGCAAAGGCTGTCCTAATTACGGAGCTCATGGAAGGAGACAGAGCCGCAGCTGCTGCAGCACCTCAAATGGAGGGACAAAACAACGAATTTACAGCGGAATTCCGAGCACGACTGGCTTTATTTCCTGAACCACCATCTACAGAAATGTTTAACCGGCTGTTCGCCGATGTACAGGAGTACATTATGGCTAGGGGGCCGCCAGGAAATCAGCAAGCCAGAGAAAG